TTACCCTGAGGCTCCACATAGCCCAACGTAGGTAACATTTACACACTTTGAAGACCAATGTAGGAACAAGATTCAAATCTGGAGCAAGCTGATCTACTTCTTGCGGTGCACTTTGTAACGCCGTACTGCAAGACCCTTCTTGAATTCAAATTCCCTAAGAATCCTTTCTGTCGCCCTTCTCCAACTCTGCGGTTGCAGCGGCAGAGTCCACACAGTAAACAGCAGATTTGTCTGGCAGCTTGCTCAGGGAGCCCGATTCTCCTCTTATTTCAGGAATATAGCTTGAATCGAATAGGGGATCCTGGTATCATTTAGGGTATATATTTCTTGTGGATGGGGTATGGGGCTCTCAGGGTATAGACCTATTTGTGGCCCTGAGGCTGCTTGAGGCTCTCAAGGGATGCCCAAATTCTACTACGTTTCCCGAACCGTTCCAGTCCATGACAAACATCCGAACAATACCACTCCACCTGCCTTTTTGGGCAGCTACGTTGGGAACGGGCCTGTCTGTCTTTTTCAGCCCTGCTCGCGGCTCGCTTTGGGACCAAGGTTGCCTTACGTTTTTTTGTGAACGAGAGTGGGTAGCTGCTGTAGCTGCCTCTCTCTCCCTCTCTCTCTCTCTCTCTCCCTGTTCCTCCCTCTCTCTCTCTCCGTCTCCCTCCCTCCCCAGATACCGCCTCAAAGGGACCTAGGGCTCCAATTTTTCCATTTTCTTTTCATCTGATTCTTTCTGCTTGAGTGAGACCAGATCATTGAGATAAGGCCATATGATAACCCCTCAATAACCCTATAATCCTTGTATGAACCCAGAATGTGCCTTCTAGATTCCTATGCAACGTGTTCATCTCCTGCAGCCTGCAGGCTCCTTCCACCCAGAACCGCCAGCAACCGTACCGAGCATCCTGGCCGCAAGGAGCCACCAGGTGTTCAGGGCAGGTTTGAACATATTTGCATTAATTACTCTTACCCTGAGTCCATATGTGATCCCTATCAAGGCATAACAAACTATGTTTTCATAGAGCCCCCCAAACCTACCCTAGTGGTGACATGCCTGAGCTCACAAGGATTTAACTTGCACGTGAAGTTTCCAATTCTCTCTTTCGCGCGGGCTAGTTCGTCTGTTACTTTGGACATCCTTCGACTGTTGAAGGCTCCCTTCGCTGAAGGGATCTCACCCATGATTACCGTGGCTGTCGCCCCATGCTGGAGCTAAGCTGATGGTAGAGCCGTTACCCACATATACCGAAACACCACGAAGGAATTGCTATTTGGGCGTCCCTGCCATCGCTGGTAACTAGCTTCCAATGTCAGGAGGGTACGTTGCTTGGGATCTCCGAAAATTCTAGCTCTTCGTAGGGCCGGCTAGGAAACACCTTCGGAGCAGATTTGATCAGACTAGCCAAGACACATCCTGCGCATGGTCGCCACACGTGTCTCTGAAACTGAGGCTACTTGGTGACGGTGAAGTCTGGCCCCGTGCGGATAAAGACCGGGCTCGGGATCAACAAATGGTCTGGAGGGAGCTTGAGTATGGAGAGCCTCAAGGGGCAGTAGAGATACACCACCCTCAGGAAGGTGTGTTTTGGTGGTTCGGCCAACAGAGATACGGTGAAGAGCCGAATTCGGCTTGTGGCTCTCCTGTAGGCCTGCTTGCAACATCATATCTCTTATCTGCGGCGTCCTTCTTCTTGCTTTCCGGACCTTGAGATCGCTGTGACAAGCTGGGTGTAATTATATCATTCGTGCCTTTTCCAGATCCTTTCGGATTTAGGATTGGGTGGTGGTATTCGCAGAAGAGTTTGCCATTTCCTCGAAGCACAGCAGTAGAGTCTGGTGGTGTGCTTGGGAGGGCTGGGATGTCCTTGTTGAGCCCTTGTCGGCCTTTGCCCAAGAAAGCAGGGAGAGACTTGGCCCCCAGCTGCCAAGCCAGGAGCGAAGACAGGGATCTGCAATCACGTGGCAGAGGCGTGCTTGCCAATGACCAGGAGGTGCCTTGCTTAAGAGTACCATGAGCTTTGCTGATGCAAATGGCCTTTGCAATGCACCTACTGTTGGGATAAGTTGAGGTTCATCTTGTTGGTCGCAGTATTTGGGTTACGGTTTTTGCCCTTGCTGCTTTGCTTCTGGAACTTCCCTCCAAATTCCGCAGCACAAAATGTAACTCGTAGGGTGCGGCACGGGACCTTGCGAGATGTGTACAGGCGGCCACATCAGCTGACCCTTAGGCCAGTTCAAAGACATCTGCAAAGATCGCGCGAATCTGTGACCAGCCGCCCCTCGCCAAAATGTGGAGATGAACGCTCAACTAGAAAACACGGCCTAAAAATCTGAATATTCGGCTTCGCTGAGAAAAACGTTTATTCATCCGGCTTTTCAGGTGTAGGCTTGAACTTATTTGTTTTTTACCCTCAATCTCTGTACCAATGAAGCCACGAAAATATCATGATATCGGCCCCCCAAACCTACCCTATATATAGTTGTTTGCATTTCATTCTCCCTTTGTATTGTCCATTATTGGGATAATATTTTTCAATATATCCCTTATATAACCGCAATAGATGGTTCATCATTATACCATACTTGGCAGTTTCAGTTTCCATTACACAACAGCAATGTATTCCCAATTATAGCAGTGTAGTTTCTGTTGTCCTGTCCATTCCTATATAACCCCTGTACAACCCCACATAATCCTAGTTTCCATCACGTCCTGAGGATGGTGGTTGAGAGCAACAAGAGTGATACTGGTCTCTCTGAGAAGCCCAAGGACTGCTCAGCTTCGCCAGCTTAGTTTGATGTGCTACAGCGGCCTAGTATTGTCCCAGATTCCGTGTAGAATCTACTACAGCGGGCTAAACTGTTAGGGCTCAGGATCATGAAGAATCAAGTGGAATGGACAATGAGAAGTAAATTTGTTATCAATTGATCTACTAATAGCAAGTCATGCTGGGGCCTAAATAACCAACATTATGATCCCAGATTCCCTGTACAATTGTGATTGGCGACTATACAGGCCCCTACATTATTGTTCCCAGTCGCTGCTTTTTGGGACTAGAGGCTGCAGGCGCCACCAGTTTCTTGCCATGACAGGTCTGTGCAACCTGCACTTGCAACCCAATAGTAACGTCTCCTCTTTGGAAAGTCTCATGCTCAGCTTCCTGGTTTCAGATTCAGATTGGTGATCCTGAAGGACCCCAACTTGATTGAGGAGTCCAGCTTTTCCAGAGTCTGAACAGGGATCTGGATTCCGTTACATTGAACCGGACCTTCCAAGAAGCTTTGGGTGCGAAAGCAATCGCATGCAAAGACACCGTTTCTGGCCCAACGATTCCTTTTCCCTGCTCCCTGTTGTAACCATGGATGTTCCCAAATTCATGGAGGAAAAGAAGGGTGCATCTTGCATAGGCAAGCCTTGAGGAGCTTCCAGGACCATGTTCAAAGGATGCCACCTCATAATCTCATCATTTGACCCCAATTGGGCATGCAAAGCCAAGTTCCAAGGCTTAGACAGCAGTGTGCCCTAAACCTCGAAAGCTCGACCATGACAGAGCTTCCAAGCGTCAGGAATCCACAAAGGAAAGCTTCACCGAAAACTTCGCCCCGCGCTCCTGTTGGTGACCTTTCAGCAATATCAGCGTACAGCCATTCAGGGAAGAGGTTGAGGCGTTGTGAATTGGAAGGCGGTGGTTACGATCTGATCGACACCAGGAGGCGCTTTGCAAATTCTCCAGGCCTATGTAAGTTCGGGGACTCCAGATCAGTCATGAGAGCCAAGCCAGCCACGCAGTAAACACGCTTCAGAGACATACTCCACTCACTTCTCTTAAGCTGAACACCAGGTAGCGGCGACCATAAGAAGTTGTCTTGCACGGCCGATTGTAGTTTCGTAGGTGCCCTTCCAGTGGTGAGTTGGCTCTTGTTGGCCTCTTCTTTATGCTAGGCTGATCTATTAGTGTGTTCAAGTTTGTTTTTTAGCGGTATTCCTGGGAGTAACTTTTGATTATTACGGCCCATCATCCTTATGTACGGCAGATAGAGCGTTAAGAAACAAAGTTTTCTAGGGCTCCAAAGTTTATCAGTTTTAGATGAGAGGCAGAGCTGGTGTCTCCAGACGAACTCTGCCCCCAACCTTCCAGTTGCCTGACTTCTGTGTTTGACGGAGGCTTTATGCGTAGTCGGGAGAAAGCCGGTACGCAGCAAACGAACCGCGAGCAACTAATTGGTTTAGGCGTGCTCCAGTTTACAACCGAGATGGAGAGTCAAACAAGCCACCAGCTACTGGCTGCCAGCCAGACGTTTGGTTTCAGTGTTCATTGCGCCTCAGGAACATTGATAATGCAAGTTCTCCAGCGCATTCCATCCGGAGGAGGTCCGCAATGTCGCAGACGCTCGGCTACCAAGCTTTACGAAGGAGACCTTTAGAACCTGCCCCTAGAGAAGGATTGCATGCGCTCATCTGTATGAGGCCTGGCGCGTGACTGTTACCATGAAGGGACGCCGAGTGTCGGCGGCGGGGTATGACAGGTTCTTTCGATTTGGGAGGTCCTTTTGGCGAGAGGGCTTTCTCTCGATCTGAAGCCTTGTGGCACAACATTGATTGATGAGACTCATCAAGCAAGGGGTCTGCATTAGTTGGACTTCTTGGAATTTCTTTGATGCCTTTGGCTGGCCCCTGGAAACTACATCCAGGCATGCGAGAGAAAACGTTCTTGGCAACAAGAAAGGTGCAGGGGCACGTGGGTTGCCTCTTCGTACATTTTGCATTGCATATACTGGGAACCCAAGCAACCAGAAATGAAATGGTTGTCCTCAAACGACAACTTTTCAGACAGGGTCTAGTCTGACTTGCAATTCAGAAGAAGAGATTAGCAGGCCTGCTAGCTCAAAGGTCCGCGAGCTTCAGATGAAGTACTGCAGGTAGACTCTGCCCACGAGATAGCTTGCACCAGATGGGACTACAAAGGGCTTAACAATACAACAAAAGGGAGAATCACATGGAAAATGGACCATGGGTTTGGGGTTGAGAGTGTAGGGTTTGCTTGCCTCCGGCTAGCAGGGAACGAAGGAATGGATGAGAACATGGAAACTAGTACAATACTGGAGAAGCAAGCCAAAAGGCTATGGAACATTACATGGAAACCGAGGTTTACATAGAGAATTTGGGATGTATGCTATACATCCCTATACAGCCCACCTCTATATATCCTCTATAACCCCTGGAAGGGGACCGCTTTGGTCTACACGGGGCAAGCGCGCTTTCGCCCAATCACCAAGCTTGCAAAGGGAGCTTTCTGAGCTGGGATGTTGAAGTCAACCCAGAAAGCCCAATACCCCGCAATGATTTATGCCATGTTCCTCAACTGAGGGGTATTGGCCTCCCTGCGAAGTTGTTTTTGTTTTATGTAGGGTCAGTGGTGCTGAGGCTGTTTGGTAAGGCTTGCTCACTGATCGCTCCTTGCACATTCTCTGCACTACTACCATCGTTGGTGTAAACACCTATAGAATCACAGTTTCCATTCTGGGTTCTGCGTGCTGTTTCATGTGATTCTCCAGATTCGGGGTAATATCCCCATGTAATCGTGTAATCCCTATATCATCCCCATTAGAACATAGTGGTGTTCAGAAAATCTCAGCTGAAAGCTGCTCAGCACCAAGGACAGTTGGAAGCTTCACCAAGCCAGGAGAGGGGTCGGTGCAGGACCTTCAAGCTCCCAAAAGTTCAGCATCCCAGAGTCTTCAGACTACTGAAGGAGAAGAAACGTAGGTATAACAGCTGTGGTATTCCTGGCTTTTTCTCAGCTACTATGGACCATAATTCCTACATAAAAAAAGTAAATCGCCCACAGGAAATGGACTCGTATTCAAGTCTATCCCAGATCATGGCAGGATCTGAACCTCAGAGCCTTTGGTCTGGAATCACGCTCCAGGCTGGGCTTTCCACAATTTGCTAGAGGGGTCCCTTTCAACGGGTTACAGGAGATAGATGGAGGCTAAAGAGGGGTGTATGAGGATTATAATGAGCAAGAAAGGGTCCTGAGATGGCAAGTGGACTTTGCAGGGGCAAGGTTTCTTGAACAGAGGTTGGGCTCCGTATCCCATGTCAACCCACCTGAAGCTCCTTGCGTGCTCTTGAAAATTGGAAAGTCTAGCTGCAGGTCCTAGTTTCATGCTGAAATACTGGCACTTCTCCTTCACGCCTTCTTCATTCCAGGTGGGCAGACTTTGTGATCCACCCCCACGCCACACCGCGGCTGCATGGCTAACATAGACAATAAGCCTGCTTAAAGAAACCACGGGGGACCCTGCAGAGGGCCCATCATGAGGCCCAAGCTCGGCAGGAGACTGCAGTGTGCTGTTTGCCGGCAAACAATTGCTGTCCAAGCCAACCCCGAACCAAGTCAGCGCAAACCTCCACCCACCTGCTAGGGCCAAACAATGTGTGCAAATTCCGAGGATTGTCTGGGACTTGTTCGGCATGTTCTTCTTGATGCGGGACATCGTGTTCATTCCTTTGCAGCTGTTCGACGTGCCGGAGTATCAAACCATGAAGCTGGTGCTTGCATTGGCCAGGTAGAGAACACAACAAGTAGAAGAAGAATGAGAAACACAACAACAGCAGCAGAAAAAGCAGCAGCAGCAGCACCGGCGGTTGCAGCAGTGGCAGCAACAGCGGCGACAAGAAGCAGAGAGAAAAGCCTTCACTGTATGCTTGAGGCCCAGAGTCAGGTTCTGCGGAGCTAGAAGTATGACACCATGACGGCGTAACCACCTGAAGAAGGTGCATCGCAACAGACAGCAAATCTTGCATGGGAGCCATTAGCCCTGAAGCTTTTTTCCAGGACGCTGCTGCGTGCAGCAGGTTGGAAAACACGCTCCCAAGTAGCAGGTTTCCTGTCTCGGGGCCACTTGTCTTCAAGAATTGCCTCCCAACAAGAAACTTCGTCCAAAGTGCACATCTTCGCATTAGTATTGATCATGGGCTCGGCTGGTGACTGAGTATTGCGGCTTGTTTTATTGAAAGAGCCAAGGTAGTCAGCCACAAACGGTGCCAAACACGTAATCAGCTCGGCATCATTCAGGGTCTTCCTTAAGATAGCTATTGTACGGATCTCCGTATTACTCGGATCCCCGTGGTGGGCTTCCTATGGCAATAGGGGGTACAGTAATTTAGACCAAGTCCCATTTCGAATACTCCGGCGTGGAAGTTGTCAACACCACAAACTTGTAACCCTGATTTTGATGCCAGTAGTAACCAATGAAAATGATTAGACGAGAGTGCAGCTTTTCGAGACGAAGAGCACCCAAGGAGCCAGATAAACTCTAATCAAAAAATGTGGCCAAACAAAATCATACAACGGATCCTAGTATCAATTTAGTGTATGTTGCTGAATCCGTGTTATATTCCCAAAATCATTCCTATGTATATATATATATAAATGCATATATGTATATACACATATGTATGCTCATACATTCCTTCATTAACGGATTTGGGGCTCTCTGGACGGACTGGTGCACCCCCGGAGTCAGCGCTGTCCGCACCTTCAATCCATACAAAGAAGCTGAATTGGGTTCCTTGTTTCTAAGCACTTGGAGTCGCTGCCTTAGCCCAGGAAAACTCTGGCGACCATGTCTCTCTTGTTTTGGACCATTGACATTCTCCTGTCTTTCTTCACCGGGTACTACGAAAAGGGACGACTGGAGCTGGGACATCGCAAGCAGCTTAGCTCGAAGCACTCACGGGACTCAACAGGTGAGATGAAGGTAGGTGGGCTAAAGAATACCTATCGTAGACTCCGTTATGCTAGGTCTTGCATCATGTAGCCTACCTTCATTTATCTCACCTTTTGAGCCCTCTAAGGCAAGTTGGTCGGATCTGATCGAAGGCTTTGGGTTGACTTTGCTGAGCAAGGTACTTACCTCTGGTTAGCAGGGAATGAAGGAAACTGCTATAGTGTCGAATGGATTGAAAAAGTACATGTAACAGGCAATGGAAACTAGGGCTACATGGGGATATGTAGTGGAATGGAAAGAAAGTGGAAATTGGTATATTCTTGAGGATTAGACGACTACCACAAGGGTCCACTTCTTCACTCCTTGCTAACCTGAGGAATGGATACTCTGGATGCATTCCATTCAACCACCCAGGAGCTTAGGCGAGTCTTAGGACACTTCAAGCGGAGGAGTTTTCAGCATCAGTCTTGCAGATTCGACACTTGGACGTATCGGGCAGGCACAGACCAAGCAATCAACTCGCCAAGCCCGAACAGATCCCAGGCGTTGGGTTCAAAGCTTTGGGAATCCCGCAGCCCTGATTCTTTGCACTTCCAATCTTGTCACAAGCTAGAATCCTACCGTGGCCTGATTCTTAATTGCCTTCCTTCATTCCTGAGGTTTCCGAGTAACCAGACATAGTCCTTTCGGGCCATGGTATTCGTGGAGTACGATTCAGGCGGCCCATGCATCCCAGGATAGCCTGGAACTACATGACCACTTGGTTCCTCCTGGACATAGGACTGCAGCGATTTCGAAGGGATGACTTTTCATGCGAACTCTAGGTGCGAAGCTTGCTCGTGAGGGTTTCGAACTGCTTTTCATCAAATCGAAGCCTGCCGGTTTTCAAGCCGTTTTCCGTTTGTTTCTTATTTGCAAGTCATTGCGGGTGGGAGTCCAAGCGGAGCGGTGTATTTCTCGTAGGGGGACTCCTCTGCAGAAGTTCTCATTTTTGCGAAAGGAGTGAGAGCAACAAGGGTCCGTGCTGCTTTGGGCCAGAGCATGGGGTGTGGCAGTGTGGCTTCCGCAGGCAATACGACCTGACCTTATCTGGAGGAGTTGTTGGCGTCGACTGGTGGCTTGAAACCACTGAGACGGCCGATGGTTCTGAGGGCGTCGCTCGCGTGACGACACTCATTTGGTACTGGCCTTTCAGGGGTAGGTTTGAGCTGTTTGTATTGCCCTAAACCCCTGTAAAAGCCAAGACACGTGTATATATATATATATAATTTAACTAGGTGCCCCCAGACCTACCCCACCCCAGCTATGTAATGACTAAACGCAGCATACACATGACAGGACCCTCCCTAGATATGTAATCACTAAATGCAGCATACACATGACATGGACACCGAAGCAAAGGGATCTGCTAAGGGGTGCATGCCCGCATGTGGGTTAATCATCCATCGCTTTATCCTGACCTTCCATGCTTCCAAATCGTGTGATCCGCTGCCCGAGCCCTCCAAGGAAGTCCATTCGCTCTGCACGCTTTTTCCGGATGTTCCGGTTGATTCGGCTAAGCATCGCGGCCAGACAAGAGGTCAAGTCCAATGACTCCTCACTGGGGAGTCGCTGTGCATTGTAGTGCTTTTTGGTGATGCATGCTCTGAATCCGGGCTTTGGGATCATCGCGGCAAGCCCACGGACCACAACTTTGTTGCCAGCATGCCAGACCCTTTGCGGTTGGAAGGATTCAGGTTCAGAAGAGGCTTGTTCAAATAAGACTGTCTTTCTTGAGCCTGAGGTTCGGATTTCACTCAACGTACATCAAGACTCACATGGGCCACTGATTTTTCTAGGCATGGCTTTCCCCTTGTAAGCTCTTGTTGTTTCTAGTGCTGTGCAGAGAAATGAGCAAGATGAAAGGAGCCATCATGCTCTGTGTCGTGTTCTGGGGTAAAGCAATTCTGTCACAAATGGCTGTTGTTGAATGATTTGTACGCGGAAGGCCTTCACATGAGAACTGCAGTAGAAGACATTCACGATTGTCACCAATCCGTCCGTCAACTGTATGGCGCTGCATCTGGAATGAGAGAACGGAATGGAAGGTATACGCCCTGCGTCAGGAGTACATTTCCTGGTTTGATGCTGATTGAGGAAGAGCTTCCAGGATGTAATAGCATCCCTAGAATGTCGTAGTCCCAAGGTAAGATGAGCAAGGTGTCAGCGTTTCTTCGTGCCGCTCGATCTGCATACCTTTAAATTCCCAGATGTAATATTTCATGTGTTTGGGACAGTTGAGACGACTGCTGGGCTTCTGGCTACAATCACATGACAAAGCTGACAGCCATTACCAGAACTCGTTGCCGCAAATATCCAAGTACATCAATACCAGGCACAACGGTTGAGGCTTAAAGTAGCCACAGGGGGCTGGCAAAACAAGAGGCACGAGAGCGGCTGCAAGTTGACGGCCTGTCAGGGTTCCTCTTGTTGAGCTTGAACCTAAGCGAGGAACCAAGAAGCCTACAAGCAGAATGTTGTTCCAGCTTGATAGAAGCTGGAAGGATTAGCGTCATCGCCAAGAGCATGCTTCGATTTGTCAAGATCAACAATCCAAAGCTCATGAAATGCCAACGAAACCCACAACCTTGAACCCAGTGCCATGAGATGGAAGCCTGCTCTATGCCTCATCAGGGGTAGGTTTGCAAACAACTTGAGTTTGTATACCCTTAACCCCTCTATAATCCCTGAATAAAGCCATACAAAACAACGTTTGCAGGGCCTTCAGTAGCAGCACCCCTAAGCAACGAGAGAATTAAGGTACATCTTACATACTTTCGAACTAATTAAGGAGGGGTATTGGGCTCCTGGGCACCCTGAGCAGGAACAGATCAGCTCGGAAGCTGGAGCCATCCAATTTGGCATCCTCAGGGCGAACCGGCTTTTGATTTTTCAGGATTTTTTTCGGGGTGGGTTAGACGGATTCCGAAAGTCTTCTATAGGGTTACTATATAGGCTTATCTGGGGTTACATAAGGTCATATGGGGGCCTGTTGGGGATCTGAAAGAGCCAGGCTGGTTGGGTCCCTTTGTCAACTTGAGCCAGCGAGGTGCCATAGGAAGTGTGAAGGCTTAGATTCCAAACCTGTGCAGTGTTCAGGCAGGATGGGATTTGCAGTGTGGGAGAGGGAGTGTAGTTGAATACCTTAAAAAGAAAATACTCCAGTAGTGGTGATTACTTGGGTTCGGTTTGTCACCCTTGGCACCTGGGGCCAGGCCAAAGTAGCGGAAACACTTCTAGGCATGACAAGCCCGAGCAAGCCATCCCAAATCTTGCTATCATATCAATGGTTGTTTTCCAGGTATGGCTGCTATTCGTCCAACACTTCTTCAAGCCTGTCCATACCTGTAGTCTGTAACTGTGTTGGGAGTACGGTGGCCGTGGTCGAAGAAACAGTTTGCAAGCCCAGGTGATCGCCAAGGTCTTTCTGTTGCAGCATCTCATCGCCTGCGGCTGGTGGGGCCTGCGCCCTGGGAGTTTGGGGGTCTCAAGGGTGGTAGACGCAGGAACCGGGAAACTTTCCTTCCATTGCGGGCGACGATACGGGTGGTGCTGTCTTCCTCTTAGGAAAGAAGTGGCGATGGCGCAACAGGCTTGTAGCTTGCATGAGCGCAGGGTGGAGCTCAGCCACGCAAGGGTCCGGTCGACACGTTTTCACAGGGTGCAGTGCAGCGTCTAGAGGCGCACGGTTGCCGGCGAATGAAGCACTGTCACCGCTGGCTCGGCTTCCACTACTTTTGCATGAGGGAGCTTGAGATGCAGGAATCAGAAGGAGAGTGTGGGGCGACTGGCAATAGCGGGATGAACAGCCCTCGGAGCTTCCGGAAGAACTGCACGCTGTGGGCTTTCTTTTCTGCTGAGTGAAGATGGCTCTCGCATGCTCTCGCATCACAAAACATTCAACACACACTTGAGTCCCAGGTGTTGGAAACTCCATCTTTGGTGATTTTGACGGGAGCTCCTTGGGCTGATCAGTGGGAAACTTCCAGCTTTGATTGCAGCAGGCCCTTGGCTGGTCACCAGTGGTCTGCAAGGTTGTTTGGTCCTGAATCCTGTTGCCTCCTGGGTTTCTATCATTTACTTGTATGGCCTTCCAACATCACCCCATGCAGCCATATGGTCAAAGTAATCCACTTTTGGAAGATTTTGGCAGCACCCACACCGAGGCCGCACATCATGGGCATTTAGAACTACCCGTAGTACATTTTCCGGATCAACCGGCAAAGCTACAAGCGGATGAGATACACTCAAAAACCCCAGAGACACATGTATCTCAGTGGAAGTCTCGATGGCCCCTCATCAATCTTGCCTTCAGCTTCTCTTACACTATGGAACAAGCCAGCTCTATACTTTTCAGGACGTACTGTAGTCCAGAAACATGCCAATAAAGCCTATGGAACCTTTTTCCCGCACGTTTGTCTTGAACGTGCTCACAACAGGTCTAGGAACGAATGCGCCCAACCGGAATGATGCAAAAAAACAACCCTGAGCGTATAAGTATTTGCCAAGAGCTTGTCAGATAGATTTGGTTTTGTTCTGACCAAGTAAATTCTTGCGACAAGAACCCCCAGCTTGTTTGCCGGGGCCTAAAAAAATACCAAACCATGGTCCTACATGGCCTGTAGAATTCTAGTAGAGGGCACTTCAAACAGACCTCAAGATGATATCGGTAATTATTTAGGCCCCTTCAGCACAGAAGTACAAAGCCATGCGATTCTAGCACTTGGCTGCTTCAGGCTCTTGATTTCACACGTTAATATACATATCCTGTACACAAAGTTTGTTTGGGGTGTTGTTTATTCTTTTCGTGGTGCTCCCAAAGAAGGTAGATCCAAAACCAAGCCTGGTGATTGCCTTTCCAACCCAAGTAGGAGCCACCGAAGCAAGCGAGTCAGCCTTCAAACCGCAAACCATTTTCCTTCAATCGGTCACGAAATTCAACAGGCTCAGAGGGCTTTCTATCAACACCAGAGCGTGATATCCGTTGAATAAGGAAAACCCGAGACAAAATAGGATCCCTTGTAGCTACATTCCGAAACTAAGCGGTATTTTGCATTGGTAAAGTCTACTATGCTCAAACCTTCCAGTCTTGAAAATCACCTGCTCAGCAAAAGAGAGGGCTCAATGAGCACAGCAGCTTGATGAGCCATTCGGAGGTAGGACCCATAACCCATCGTGCACGCATGAGGCACGATTAGCTGGATATCCGCTTTCGGAATGGATCGGGAGGAGACTTGATTGCAGATGTCACATCCTGTTTGGCTCTTCGTTAAGCGCTGAGCTTCAGGGATGGTGGCAGGTTAGGATGCGCACGCAGAGTTGCCATGCGGACGATAGGTGTGGGAGATGGAGGCTTGAGAGCGCTTAAAGCGCTTATGTGTTGTCAAGGTGTTTCAGCTTCAGGTCTGCCATCAGAGGCGCTAACTCGCATGGCTTGAAACACATGTTGGCACACGCTTTTCTGGCACTTTTCTCTCTGTACTGCACAGCAAGTTGCTGCAGTGCTTTCAAGATTTTGCTTCTGATTCATTGAGCGCCGAAGGGCGTGTCCTTCGAGTACCAGTACACCACTTGCTTGCATTGGGCCTTCGCTCAGCTAGGCCCGGGGGCTATGGGCAGGGTCAGGGTCAGCTCGGGTTAGATAAGATCACGTGAGGATTTCCTGAAGTTCATGACAATATGGGGGTCCCTGCATAAATTTTCTCGTTCTTTAGGCCAAGTCCCGTGTTCTGCGTTGCAACAAGCGGGTACTGAGCTTGGATGGTGTGGGCTGCAATCCACTGCCATCTCCACTTCGGATTGAAATGTAGATTTGCAAGGTTATCCACGGTTTCGGGTTTAGGGCTCAGGGAGAGCAAAACACCTCCCCTGAACTTCAAGCATTGGCAAGCAATCAGGCACGAAAGCCCCCTTGCACAAATTCAGAACATTGCTGCGTAGTAGGCTGCAGGTCTCATATTTACAGCATCTGCTGGCTAGGCTCCTTGAAGCCTGGTCCGGTTCTAGAAGGAGGAACACAGGGAGCCCAATACGTTTTAGATTATGGAAGGCAGCGTAAATCATATAATGGGTCCTCGTATTATTTAGGGTAGATCCCTTAACTAGGGGGTATTGAGCGCTCTGGGAATCTGCGGAGCGTAGCATGAAGTTGTTTCGGAGGCATGGGATCTGTGGAGGGCATCGAGGCTGTCAACACAGAAGAGAGAGCTTTTTGCTACTCGGCCTGTAGCTGGTGCAGATTTTTACTTGGGTATTCCTGGGACCAATTTGCATTATTATGACCTCTACATATTCCCCATAAAGCCATATGAATATCGTTTTATAGGTTTCCAAAATCTATCCCAGTTCAGCTGAATGTCTCACATTGGACTTCTTGTAGCAAGCCAGGGTGCTGAGCCCTGGCCTCCATCTGTAGTGAAGTCATTCCACGTGGGCGGGTGAGGGTTGATCCAAAAATACTTTGGGGAAGGTCTTCAGGGTTCCTGTAGGTCTAAAGCAGAAATTTAGGGATATCATTTTCCATAGTGACCATTTGCGGAACAGAAACTTTGATCAGCTGCCATGTCTCAATGCGACCTTGCGGCCTCTGCTGCTGGTGTAGAGGGGCAAGCCGATCGTTCAGGCATTCAGGGTATGTGCTGATTTCAATGCGCACTTTCACTTGACTATGTGTTGAGCCAGGAGCTGCCACATGCACTTACTTGGAGGCCCACGGGACTTGGTAAGTAGATGATAGCTGGCGCCAGGAGTCTCCAGATCGGGATTGGCTTAGTTTAGCCCCATTGATAAGTTGCCACTTACTAATACAGCAGGGTGGGCTTGCGGCACGGACTTGTAGACCTCAATAGCAGCCAGAAGCACGCGAACCCGGGATCCCCATGGCCGTCTTCGCCAAAAAGTGCGGAGCAGTCAGCATGCTGCTCCGTCTAGCTTCATGCCTTATGACAGCTATATTGCTTCTTCGCCTTGCTTAGCCCGCCACTCAGGTATCCTCGTAGCCTTCACATGCTTGATCAGCTTCTCCACCTTGGTCAGTGCTTTGGCTAAATCCTGGTGATGCTTCCAAGAAAGGATGTGACTGTCAAGGGATCTGTGAAGTTCCCAATCTAGAGATCAGGAGTTTGGGACTCATACTTGTTGTTGTTCTTTTGTTGGTGGTGTTGGTGGTGGTGGTGGTGGTGGTGGTGGTGGAGGTGGAGGTGGAGGTGGAGGTGGTGGTGGAGGTGGAGGTGGAGGTGGAGGTGGTGGTGGAGGTGGAGGTGGGGGTGGAGGTGGAGGTGGAGGTGGCGGAGGTGGTGGTGGTGGTGGTGGCGGCGGCGGCGGCGGTGGTGGTGGTGGGGGTAGGGGGGGTCGTCGTCGTCGTCGTTGTCGTCGTCGGTGTTGGTGGCGGCGGCGGCATTGGCGTTTGTTTTTTGCTGGGAGGGGGGTAGTTCGTCATGGTTTTCCACCTGACATGATTTGCCAGACTTTTGGTCAACCCGTTTGTCGGGCATCTCCAAAACATCCTCAACTGCGTGCCGTCAACACCTGCTCGTCCAAAGCTCTGAATGAGAGACGGAGATAGTGGCAAAAGTTGGTTACTTCCCTTGCATCGGAAGTAGTAGTAAGATGTCCAGTAGTTCGTATTGAGTGGTTGTAAAATCTCCTTCGCGGCTTGTCGTTGAAGAAACTAGCCGGCATCTACGCCAGTGCCTGCACGAGCCTAGCGAGGCTTTCTACGAAGTCGTTTCAAGCCCGCCTGTGCTAGGTACAGTGACATCCTTGATGAGCAACTTGCAGAAAGCACAAGATGAGGAGTGGGCCATTCCTGAAGGGAAAATGGCTCAGGGCCTTGGAGCTTGCAGCAGAAGCTTAGGGGCAGCAGCAGAAAGACCAACAGAAGATGCCATGTGTCATGGGTGTGCCTTCTCCAGGAGCAACAGCTCTTCAGAGACTTGCGACGCTTCTTGTCCCTTGGCATACCAGCTTCAGCGGTGCATCTCAAAACCCATGAAATCCATTGCGAGGCACCAGAACGACATCCCAATCGACCTCAGTCAACGAGTGACCCGCTTCTTGCAGCACGCTCCACGGCTGCAACTAGACTGTGGTATTCCCAGGGGTGACGGCTATATTATGGACATTAATCCCGGCATATTCTCTATAAGCTTCAAGAAGTTCAGCGGCCCCTAGATCTATCCCAGTAGAAGGGCAACCAAATTCCGGGCCCCCAAGTTGTTGCGAGAACTACACGCTTTTGCTTCTTAATCAATATGGGTATTTATTAAATTTACGTAGAAAATCTGTTTACATCTTCTATATGTATATATAATTTAAGGGCTGACGCCGTGCCGCCGACCCCCAAGAAAAGGGGGCGGCGACGTCTGACGGCACTG